ATTTGAGATAGAGCGAGAATGAGCGAGAGAGAGTACACGTGCACACAAAGTAGGGGGAGGGGCAGAGGGAGTGGGAGAAGCAGGCTCTCCACTGAGCAGGGAGCCCCACACGGGGCTCCATCCCAGGACCCTGGGCTCATGACCTGAGCCAAAGACAGACACTTAACTGACTGAGCCACCCAGGTGCCCCTCCATATAAATTTTAGAATCACTTTGTCAATATCTACAAAATAGCTTTCTGAGATTTTGATTGGAATTGTCTAAATTTTTAAAATCATAAATTGGTGTTGAATTTTGTCAAATGCTTTTCTGCATCTGTTTCAGTGATCACAATTTTTCTCCTTTATTTTGTTAATGTGCTAAATTATATTGCTTGATTTTGAAATGTTAAAGCAATCTTGCATTCCTATAATAATTTCAACTTGATTATGATATTTTATTCAATGTATTTATTGCTGGGTTCAGTTTGCTAATATTTTGTTGAATATATTTGCATCTATATTTCTGAGAGAAGTCGACCCATAATTTTCCTTTTTTTGTAGTATCCTTGTTAAGTTTAGGTCTCAAGATTATGTTAACTTCATAAAATGAGTTGGAAAGTATTTCTTCTTGTTTTTTTTTCTATTTTATTTGTATTTGATTTTTAATAAAAATTTATTTGAGGAAGATTGATTTTATATCTTCCTTAAATGTTTGACTTTACTGGAGAAGTCATCTTGGCCTGTAATTTTCTTTATTAAATAGGTTTTATTTTTATTCTTTTTTTTTTTGCAGTTAAGTTTATTATGTTTAGAATTCACATATAATCAAAATCCAATTTGATGAGTTTTTTTAATTTTTTAAAAATTTAAAAATTTTATTTTCACTGTAGTTATCATACAGTGTTATATTAATTTCAGGTGTACAATATAGTGATTCAACAATTCTGTATATTACTCAGTGCTCATCATGGTAAGTGTACTCTTAATCCCCCTCACCTACTTCACCCATCCTCCTTCCTTCCTCCCCTCTGGTAGCCATGTTTGTTCTCTATAGTTAAGAGTCTGCTTTTTGGTTTGTGTCTTTTTTTTTCCTTTGTTTTGTTTCTTAAATTCCACATATGAGTGGAATCATACAGTATTTGTCTTTCTCCAACTGGCTTATTTCACTTAGCGTTTTACCGTCTCGCTCCATCCGTGTAGTTGCAAATGGTAAGATGTCATTCCTTTTATATATATTATATAATAAATATATCCTTCTTTATCCATTCATCATCTATCAGTGAAAACTTGGGCTGCTTCCATAATTTGGCTATTGTAGATAATACTGCTGTAAACATTGGGGTGCATGTATCCCTTTGAATTATTATTTCTGTATTCCTGGGTAAATACCTACTAGAGTAGTTGCTGGATTGTAAGGTAGTCCTATTTTTAACTTTCTGAGCAACCTCCATATTATTTTCCACAATGGCTGTACCAGCTTGTATTCCTATCAACAGTGCATGAGGTTCTTTTTCTGCATATCCTCGCTGACACTTGTTGTTTCTCATGTTTTTTATTTTAGCCATTCTGACAAGTGTGAGGTGATATATCATGGGGGTTTTGATTTGTATTTCCCTGCTGATGAGTGCTGTTGAGCGTCTTTTCATGTATCTGTTGGCCATCTATATGTCTTCTTTGTAGAAATGTCTGTTCATGTCTTCTGTTCATTTTTAATTTGGATTGTTTGCTTTTTTGGTGTTGAATTGTATAAGTCCTTTACATATTTTGGATACTGTTTGTTGGATATGTCATTTGCAAATATCTTCTCCCATTCCATAGGTTGTCTTTTAGTCTTGTTGATTGTTTCCTTTGCTGTGCACAAGAATTTTATCTTGATGTAGTCCCAATAGTTTTTCTTTTGTTTCTCTTGCCTTAGGAGACATATATAGAAAAATGTAGCTGTGTCCGATGTCAGAATAATTAACTGCCTGTCCTCTCTTCTAGGATTTTTATGGTTTCAGGTCTCACATTTAATTTTAATTAATCCATTTTTAATTATAATTTTTTTAATTTTATTTTATTATGTTATGTTAATCACCATACATTACATCATTAGTTTTTGATGTAGTGTTCCATGATTCCTTGTTTGCATATAACACCCAGTGCTCCATGTAGAACGTGCCCTCTTTAATACCCATCACCGGGCTAACCCATCCCCCCACCCCCCTCCCCTCTAGAACCCTCAGTTTGTTTCTC